TTTGCTTTTGCTTTACGAATTGTATGGGAGGTATATTTAATCATATTTAGATTAAATGATAGGTAGCCAGATTAGCGATTTTTCAACGAGTGACTCGTTTCCCATCGGTGATCGGTAAAAGCGGCACTAGTCAAAGTCCAAAGGAATATTTGAAGATGTTGCATAGAATAGAATATTATACATTTATACAATTATACCCAATATTATGTGAACGACATAAACGTACCTATTATAATTTATAGATAGGTATAGTAATCGTAAATCCAAATTTTCAAAAAGATCACACTGCATTTTTAAGATGTAGGCATTATTGCTATGTGTTCTCGGTAAGGGCCCGACCACGTCGATAAATACCTTCTCGAAAGGTTCGGTGGCCGTGGTACTTATGACCATTGGTTGCCCGACGTTCTTGTTACACGTTTTGTTTATCTGGCATGATGGACATTCCCAGACAGCAATTAAATGTTCTTAGAATCTTTGAAGAATATTGATTACTTAACAATAATGTTTCAATAAAATTTGAATTAATGCACAGTAATGTTACAGACATGTTCCCATAATATTCTGTGGTCATATTTTGGCCGCTTTTTTTATTTTTTCAAAACATTTAAATTAAAAAATTTTGAGAATATTCATACAGTAATATTCTGAAAATCAAAACCTTAAATATTTGTGAAAAGTTCTCTTAAACAAGGCTACATTCTACAGAGGCTGCTGAATGAGGGTATCACAGACCCCCCCACACTGAATATAATATAACACTGTATTATGAAACCTGAAAATAAAATGGTAAAATGATATCAAAAGCTCAAAAATACATTTGTTCTGCAGGTTAAAATTGTCAGTGAAATGATTTCAAGCTTTCTACAATAAATAATTTATTAACAAAATTTAAGATTTATAAAAATTACTTTATTAAGTTCATTGCAAGTATGAGTTTTTTTTTTTAAAGATAACAATATAAAACAAAATATGATTTATAAAACATTTGTTCAAAAAAAAAATCTAATTGATTTTACATCAAATTGAATAATACAAAAAAGAAATAATAATATCAATCAAGAATATAAAATTGCAAATAATTATAAACGACATAATATATAAAATAATAAAAGAATTTTTTCCTGGGACATAAGCTGCAATGTATTAAAATATTTTTTTTTTTATGATTGATTACAATTTTTAAAATATACATTTATAAAACTAATATGTATTATAAAGCATTTAAAAAAAAAACAATCTATGTGATCTTATGTAAAAATGAATGAAACAAAAAAAAAAAATGTATCAAGAATATAAAATTGCAAATAATTATAAACGACATAATATAATCATATATTATAACAAAAGAAATTTTGAGCTGGGACTTAAGCTGTTTAACGTATTAAAATATTTTTTAAATACAGTTATTATAAAAGCTTAAACTTTATTTGATTTATTTAATCTGAAAGATGAATGTGCTATCCATGTGGCGAGAGGTCTATCAAATTCTTTGTTGATAACATTTTTAAATTTTGGATGAACACGTAATGCATCTGAAAATGATTAAAATTCTAAATATAATTTTGATTGAAAGCAGTAGTTCAACTATATTATAGAACTGATATACATAAATAAGTGTTCAATTACACTCAAGAGTTTATAAAGATATTATTTTAATAGTACAATAGTATAATACTAATAACTTACCTATCAATAAATTATAGCATTCGAGTTTGGAAAAATTCTTTTTCTTTTTGAATCCCAATAAGGAGTACAAAGTAAGGACTTCATCGGAAAACATCTTTATCATTAATCTTCGAACGCTATCTCCAACATCTTTAATGCCAACTAACAAAGACAGTTGAAGTACCTGCGATAACAATAATAAATATAATTTAGATATAACGTTACTAAAAAATGTAATGTTCACAATTAACTAAATTATATAACATATATTTAAGTAACACATACCAAATTAGATCTTATAATCTTATCAGTAATTCTATTTTCTGCAATCTGAAGATCTTCTTCAGTTTGAATGGGAAATAAATTGTAATAGTCTGAAGTTTGGGATATTTGGTTATCATTCAGTTGTCCTTGAATAATTGAATTCCCAGAACTTGTTACATATGAATTTAAAAGAATATGTGTAGCGTTTGTCTTTGAATTAATGCCAGATATGTCATACTTCATTTTTGTTAGTGAATTTATTACGAATGTTTGAAAATCTAAAAAAAATAATGATTGTAATCATAAAATAACCGTTCTATTTAAAAATTGTAAAAATAAAAATACCACAATTGGACATCAATTTGTCTGTAGAAGTTTTTGCAGAAGAAAACCTAGGTGTATTACTGTTTTTATTATTTGATTGTGACATTGAATGTAGTTGAGCAAAGTTCTTGTCATTATCCTTCACAACTATTTTTCCAATGGGAGAGTTCAATATGGAATATATTTTTTCTGAAGACTCGGTGTTGTCTAAAAGCATGAATAATTTACAATTATTAGTTACTAAAACATAACTATATACATTTTTAAATTGACCATTAATTATCAAATTAAAATAGTTTACATAAAATACAATTATTACATCTACCAACTACCATCACATCTATATTTACAATAACCTGCTTATAATATTTACCTTGGTTAAATATCTCATCAGTTTCAATTGTATCAAATATGGTGGTCCTTTTTGCAGAAGAAAACTCACTTTTATTGTTTCTATCATTTGATAGTGATCTTGAATGTGAATAAGAAAAACTCCGGTCATTATTTTCCACGACTATTTTTCCAATAGGAGAATTCAAAATGGTATGTCTTGAATATGGAGATTCAGCGTTTTCTAAAAGAATGAATAATTTACAATTAATTATTAAATCACAAATAAATATGGTACACACAATACATTTTACAATTTACAATCAATTATTAAATTAAAATATTTTACATAAAATACAATTATTACATCTACCAACTAAAACAACTATATTTACAATGACCTACTTGTTATATTTACCTTGGTTAAATATCTCATCAGTTTCAATTGTATCAAATATGGTGGTCCTTTTTGCAGAAGAAAACTTACTTTTATTGTTTCTATCATTTGATAGTGATCTTGAATGTGAATAAGAAAATCTCTGGTCATTATCTTCCACGACTAATTTTCCAATAGGAGAATTCAAAATGGTATGTCTTGAATATGGAGATTCAGCGTTTTCTAAAAGAATGAATAATTTACAATTAATTATTAAATCACAAATAAATATGGTACACACAATACATTTTACAATTTACCATAAATTCTAGATATTTTACAATCAATATATTTATAATAATACATCTATCAACTAAAGTAACTAATAACTATATTAATAATAATAAACTGCTTATTAAATTAACCTTGGTTAAAATCATCAGTTTCGGATAAAGCTTTTTCCAAAGAAAACTTAGAGTTATCATTTTTATTATGATACGATTGGGATACTGGCTGAGTAAAGTCTTGATCAATATCTTTTGTAGTTTTTTTCCTAATTGGAGACTTCATTTTGGAATAATGTCTTTTGTTTGAAGACTCATCATTTCCTAAAAGCGTGAATATTTAAAATTGTAACTACCTACTAAATATAAATATTTTATGCACAATACACAATTATTCATATTTACCGTTTATATTTATAACAAGCTTGTTATTATATTTACCATGATTAAATGTCTCATGAGTTTTAAATAAGGCCCTTTTCACAGAAAAAAACTTAGGTGTATTGTTTTTTTTCATTTGATTGAGATATTACTGCAGCAAGTGGCTGAGAAAAGTCCTGATTATTTTTATCTACAATTATTTCTTTAGTTGGAGAATTCTTTGCAGGACTATTATATTTTGTTATAGTTGATATACCAGTAGACAAAGCGTTTTCTGAAAGTAACAATTACACATGTATAATATGGGTATGTAATATTATATATAGTTGTAGATAATTGAATAATTTATTAACTATTTATACTGTTCAAAAGCAACGGTTGGATGTATTCGGGGTCTTTATCAGAATCATATGAATTTTCATCAATTAGTTCATGGTTAAAATTTGCATTAAGTAACCTATTCAATTTATTATTATGTGTTTTCTGTATATCTGTTAGCATTCAAAGTATCAATATAAATTTAATTTATAGTGTTATAAATTAAAAAAATTATATAAAATTATGAATACTTTACCTTTTGTTAATAACTTTGGAGGACTTCTCATTTTTTTTAAAATAGACTTATTTCTTTCATCATCACAAGACGATATATCCGTTTTTGTCATTAGTTCATCAGCCTTTTTCGTTGCTTCACTATAGCTTTCTATTTAATAAATACATTTAAATTAGACAAGATAAAACTCAGTAGGAATAAAATTATTAATACTTACTAAATTGCCCAACAATTCTTGATGGAAACCATTTAAATTCTATATCATTAGGATTACTTCTTTTTTCAATTAATCTTCTTGCAATTTTTTTATTTACAGGCCAAGCACAACTCTTGTCCTTTTTTTTAATCCAAAAATCAGGAACTACTTCTATAGTATTATCTTTTACAAAATGAACAATACTCCACATTTTTTTTATAATATTTTCAAGTTTCTTGCTACAAGAATATAAATTAAAAATCATATTAATTATGATTAGCTACAAAAATATGTAATTTATAGAGTTATAATATTATTCAATTCACTCATTATTCAGTTATTGTATAGCAGTAAATACTGAATAGGTACGGTAAAACATAATAATAAAGTTAATTATAAAATATCCTCAATGTTTTTCCTTTTTAATTATAAAAATTAGAAATAAATTTAACATTTTGATTTAGTTAAATTATCTATTTTAAACTTTAAAAAAAACTATAACTACATTTATCCAATAAAATTATTTAAATATTAAGTTCAATCTTATTTACAATTATAGGTATTAAAATAAGTAATTTTAAGAATTTATTAATGGCAATGCAATTGATTTAGAATTATGTGTAACTACCATAACTTTTTTTTTACATTATTTATATTCCATTCATTTAACTCTTCACTAAGTTGATCTACAAAATATATATCAAATAATGATGAATCGACAGGATTATTATAAAATTGTTGTTTTTTTTTAAACAATTTCCCAATAAGTGATATACTACTATCTTCATTTTTAACAACATTTAAACATTTAACAACATCTCCACTTTCAATCAATATATAGTTATCTTGAGATGTATTTATGTTGATATTTATATTATTAATGGTACATTTTTTGTACTGAATTATCGTATTGTTACTGCCAATTAATGGACCATTTCTATGAGGTTTTGATAATACTACACATGTATTTGTATCACTTAGTATATTATGTGGATGTTGAATATATATTTCAGAATATCTGTTTATTAGCTGTTCTAGTGGTTTCTCATTTTTGCGGACTTTGGATTTTAAGTTTTTCATATAATTTTCAAACACAAAGGCGCTACAGTTGTCAAGGGGGCCAAAATGTTGATAATCATCACATAAGTGCAAAAGCCCGTGAACGTTATGAGATACATGTTGATAGCCATAAAGATTTTCAAATTTCTCAACAAAGTAATCTAGCAGTTGTTCAGCATAGTCTAAATAACATTGGCGGGTTGGACTCAAAAGTATGATCATGGCAACATGTAGAATCATGAAATGATCGTAACAATCCTTATTAATAACACCTTCAAGTACAATGGGTCCAATATACAGTAAAAATAATCTTAACTCAGTCGCTTTCCACCTACCTATGTCCTGAATTTCCCTGGGTTTCCTTGAAAAATCTGAAGGAATATATTTTTTTAAAGATAGTAATGAAGCTGTTAATTTATGTGCAGATCGACTAGGTAGACGTACATGCAATGGTCCCTTGTGCAACCATAACAATACAAGTTTACGGGTAACTCCAATTAAAACTAAGTGCATATAATCAAGACTAAATGATTGAACTAAGTTTAATCCAGGCAGTTCAATAAGTCTTGAAATACTACCACCAATATGATAGTCTTCATACATCATTTGTGCATATGATTCATGAGTTCTTTTAGGACATTTGTTTCTAGAATATGGAAAACATACCCTGTTTTGAAAATATTCCCCTTCTACAGTACATCGATTACATGATGAAAAGCCCGAATGTCCTTTCGTTTTCAGCAGAAATGACTTTGCAGGGGAATCGCACACAAAACCTTTGATAAATACTTTTCTATTTACACCATTTATTATAATCCCATTACTTAATAAATCTTTAGCTTCAACAATAAAATCTGATAAAAACTCATCACTATCTTTGGGTTTAGTGAAACCATGATAAATGCCCACTGGAAAAACAATTTTACTGGTACCAACAATGTAAGCCAATATGGGCCAAAATTGACTATTAGTGTTTTTTGTTAAAGGCAAACCATCTACACTTATAAACAGGTGTATATCACTGAATTCAGGTGATGCAAATCTTTGTATACCAGCAGTTAATCCAAAATGATAATACTCCCCTGGAGCAATATATCGAAGCTTTGTACCACTTAATCGTGGTGTAGCTAAAAGTGTACGACAATCTCTTGGCAAAGTTTTTGTATTTATATTATCATACATTTTCATTAAATGTAGTGAACTGTTTACAGTTGATTGTGGAACATTGCAATCTACTGCCCACACAGCAAGGTCTTTCTCAAAATTATTATTTAATTTATTTTCTACAATGACTGATAGTAATGGTATTTGTTGTTTCCCTATCACATTTAGATTCTCTTGGATATGTGTTACGGTGTTCTCATAAGACGAATCAACTATTTGAGGATCAGAGTTTAAGTTTGTTGTTTTTGGTGAATGGTAATCAATAGATTCAGTAATTTCATTTTCACAGCTGTCGGTTTCAATACTTATGACTGGTTCATTTTTCGAATATATATTACTGATAAGGTCAAGTTCTTTCTTAATTTTCCTTCTCTTAGAGCGGTTACTCGACATTTTATTGAATTATTTATTTAAATTTTTAAAAATTTAAAAGAATTGTACATTTCTAAAAAAAAAAACAAACAAAAACGAGTAGAAATAAAAAAATGATAAGGTACAAATTAAAGGCAAGAAAATGAAACCAAAAGTTGTTAGGCACAGAAAGTTCAGATTCAAACATAAGTTGGAATTCAAAAGTTTATTCCCGAGTTATTCCAGTGATGATGAACCTTTAGCATAACCAATAATGCCTATGTAATGATCTCATTAAAAAAAATTAGGTACCAGTTTGCAATAAGACTTAAAATCTGGAGACTATATATTATGTACTAGTAAAATTTAAGTCTGTAGGTAAAAAAGAATTGTTAGATATATGTGGCCACAGTTGTTAAAATAGTTTCTGAAACTGAAGAAAAAGTACTTGTACCTATTGTAAAGCTTCTGATGAAGAATATACCGAATTTGTATTAGTTGAAAGTGGTAAATCTGTATTTAAATGATTTGGATTATAAATTGCCAATGCCAGAGTTACATTTTAAAAGCAGACAATACCTTTTTGTATTTCCTGGCAATGTTTATGTGTATGAAAAATTTGAGTAAGACTGAGAACTATTAACATTATATGCTCCTATATACTAAACGATCAATTTCTACAGTATATCCTAATAATTTGTTAAATTAAATTTTTTTAGTTAATATTTTTTTATGTTTGTAAAATTATTTTATTATTTCCTAAATATTACCAAGTGTTGATTATTAATTTCATAAAATGTTAAAAAAGTTGTTCAATTTATTCATAAATTTATAGCTGGATTAAAGTTTAAATATAAGTTACCAAACTGTTTAGTATACGTTTATAACTTATTTGTTTTTATTTTACATTTGTTTTAGTAAAATATGAGTTCCTGTCATATTTGTTTATATTTAATAATTTCATTAATTAACTTGTATTATTTGTCAAATATAAAATATATTTACATTGACCATAAATGGGAAAAATGATGACTGCAGTTTATAGAGATATGGCCATAGAAGGGAAAAATTTTATTTTAAAATATTAATACAAATTTCTCATTCAATAATCAATAATAATGTTCTTAAGACTATTTAAAATTCAAACCAAGTATTATTGAACTTTTGAAGTGTATAAATGGTAAATTTTCAATTTTTTTTTAATGATTGCGCTGATAGAATAATTAAATATTAATAGAAAAAAATTCTTAAGGTGGCCACAGATGGTGACTCCTATAATATCAGATATAATATAGACGGTAAGATACTTACTAAATTATTAATATGTGATTACTTTAGTAATATGTGATGTTATTTTCTTATATTATAACATAGGTAGATGGTAGGTACTAAAATTGCATATTATCAAAATTTATACAGTGCAGCAAAACACACACTTTAGTATTAGTATTAGCATTTTCAAAGATTAGGTAAAGCAGGTATGTTAGTAGCAAGGTAAATTAAATCATCCTTGACATTTTGTTAATTACTTGATTACTGATTTCAAGTAAATGTACCGAATATAATTACAAGTAAAACTAGTAAAAGAATAAAAAATGATCAACTATTAGGTATCTGGCATGATTGCATATTATTTTTAAAAACTAGAAACATGTTTGCTGTATGAAATATCTACTTAATACCTGCTTATAAAATGTTAGTACCTAGAAACTTAATTCAAAACTTAAAATAGGTATATATTATTTTAGGTAGGTACTTACAAATTCACCTCCAAAGTGCCAAGCTGCCAACAGCCAACTGTACTCTTGACGTAGCGAGCTTATGGTTTCGTGCCGGTCTCAACAATGATGGTAGTGACGGGAGTCGGGAATACGCAAAATGCCGAATATGGCATTGCACTATCGCAGTCGCGTCGCCGACGGAAATTATTGTACTTATAGCCTATACGGGTAAATCCCGAAACGAACTAAATATAAAACTGGAGTATGGAAAAAATAAAATGTACTCAATATAGTATGAAACAAAACACTCTCCGTAGCTAATATCTACAATAATTCCATGTCGAAACTCGGGATGTAGTTTTATCACACCCTGTATTCTTTCATCAAATTAATAAATATATATTTTTAAATAGTATTGTTTTCGCTGGCCGTTCTAATCGCTGTCCGTTCGAACCGAGTAAGACCAGTTTTTCCATATTATATGGTGTGGTAAGCTGATTAACTGTGCGCGGGGACGCAGGGTGATTGTATGTAGTATGAACTATGAAGTTATTTTCGTTTTCTCGCGTTCATAAAATTATAAAAAAATATCTATTTAGTATGATATACGACTAATATGGTATATTATAATAATATTATATACTTAAATACGAGTGGTTTGGATACCGTATTACTGTGTAGTGTGCATGACGTATTATATTATGTGCTCGTCGAGCAGATCATATATTATAGTAAATGTAAACGTGGATTTAGCCGACATTATAACATAAATATTTTTTTCTCGGAGAATTTCTTCTCATAAATTAAAGAAAAATATTTATGATGATAGTATAATACATAAGGATAGGTCCAGGATCTTTTTGAAAATTTGGATTTACGATTACTATACCTATCTATAAATTATAATAGGTACGTTTATGTCGTTCACATAATATTGGGTATAATTGTATAAATGTATAATATTCTATTCTATGCAACATCTTCAAATATTCCTTTGGACTTTGACTAGTGCCGCTTTTACCGATCACCGATGGGAAACGAGTCACTCGTTGAAAAATCGCTAATCTGGCTACCTATCATTTAATCTAAATATGATTAAATATACCTCCCATACAATTCGTAAAGCAAAAGCAAAACGTTTGACGAATATAATTCGCAGACTATTCAAGTCAAGACAGCTGCTGTCAGATAGGCAGATATAGCTTATATTATCGTAATAAAACCCAATTTAATATAATAATTTTATTAATGAATAGGGTAGATAGTAGGTATATACATAAATGTTAAAATAAGTTACTTACCACTGTGCCTGCCAGTGGCGTATATAGGGGGGAGGCCCCCTAGGCCAGAGCCCATAGTGAAATTGCAGGTTCAATTAAACCATTTCATGTACCTATATCTACACTGTTGACAGTTTTTTACCATGATTAATTTAGTCGGTTGATTAAAATCGTTAGGAGGAATCAACAAGGAAATGTTAGATTGCCAGGACTTGCTTTGAATGCCTTTGATGACTTTTATGTGTTAAATTCACAATACGATAACATTAAAATATATATTATGTATGTATGAAATTGTAAATTTTTTTTTAAAAAGAATTAAAAATGAAATTTACATTATAATCATAACGTTTAATTGCGCAATTTTTATTTGTATTTATAACCACCCAGCTCCTCAAAAAAATGTATAGTTATGGCTATGTTATAGTCGCGCTAGCTGACTAGTGATAAATTGGGCCCATACTGAAAATAATTTGTATATACTGGTGCCTGCCGCCTGGACCTCCCAAAGTCCCAAAAGATAAAAAAACAACCGTTAACAACAATGTAGAAATTATAATATGTGGATTGCTGTAATATATATAATATATATCGCATAATATATTATGTATTACAATAAATTTAACATTTTGATCATTATATTATAGGTGAAATTAACACTAACTTAAATAAACTTGTATTCAGTTGAATGTTTTTGTTTTCCATGCCACGTTTTTGAAAAGTACCTACCTACTACAGGGAATTTTCAATTTTGACCTCTCAAAGGAATCAATTATTTATACTAGGTATCTATATATATATATATATATAATTTGACATAAGAAACAACTCTCATTGTTGAAATGAAATCATTATTTTGATTAGGTACTTATCTACTTATCGTGTATATAATATAGGTATATATACACACACACACACACACACGTGTACACAGTACACACACACACGCATTCATTGTAAAATCAAATATATACCTATATACAAATTATACATATTATATAACCCGACAATGCTTGATGATAATATATAAAATATAGTCTAATATAAAGTATTATAGGTAGTTTATTCTGAATCGGTTTATTGAGTATAGCGTTTAATATATATATATATATTATATATAATAGTTACCGAGTGAATCGCCCGCTATATTATACTATCGTCGTCTTGTGCGCCTTATTTTATATATCAGGTATAGGCGGTATATATTATTAAATAATATATAATTCTTTATTATATATATATTATATTATGTGACGATGCCTAACCTCACCTATATATATATACATATTTAATCCAGGTGAAATATTTTTGAAAACTGTAATTAGCAATATTATTTTGAATTCCAATTCATATATTTTCAGAATACTCCGATTAAGTTAAAATTAAAATGTTTTAAAATTAACTGGACTGCAATATTATCATAATTTGTCAATGAAAATATTATTTTAAATTCCAATTTAAATTTTTTCAGAACATTCCCACCAAATTATAGTTGAAATATTATATTTCTAATTTAGTTAAAAAATAATTACAATGTTATATATTAAATATAATGATTTAAACATTCTTAAAAAGTAATTATAAAATAAATTATAAAATATTCCAGTGTTAACTTAGGTAAAATATTTCCAAAATATCAATGTTACGGTTTTGCTGTCTGGGTTTGGACACATATTCCTTAACATTATCTTCCAATCCTTCCCAGTTAAATTGTGTTTGAATGCACTTTACGGTTTGGTTTATACCACGGTGTCCTCCTAGTAGGCTGGAATGATGCTCTGCGATTATCTCTAGTTTTTCCGCGTGTGTTAACTCTGTTAGAGAATAAACATGGATTTTGATATCTATCTCCTTAAATACAAACCGAATCATGGTCCGGATGGCAGACCAATCAAGTTGGTCTAGTCCACTGCCAATACGGGGCATCGCTAGTTTGTCAATATTGAGCTCGATGCACACCGATTTGAGGCTCTGTAAAGTCAGGAACATAACCTCTAAAGATGTTTTTTTCCAATATTTTGGTTTTGTTACCATATACAGGATGTACCGATTTTCTTGACGAATGTACAACACTTCATGGACTCTGGGGTGTTGACTTTTTAAAAATCTCCACATTGCCAAATTTCCTGCGAAACATGAGGGCCGTACCCTGGCTCATTTTCACGTCCTGGGATATGCAATGTGCGAGGCTGTAGTCTGATGGTGCGTCGAATAAATCTGCCGATTCCTCTTTTACCCTATTATTGACTATTGACTTGCCTTTTATTAGTTGCAAGTAGGTATCATAACTAACTCGGGTAACTGGGTTAAATGTTCTGTTCATCATGATTCGCCCCATACGGCTGAGTGCATCTGCATTTGTGTTTGCGGCACCGGGTTTGTAGACCACTTCGTACTGATATTCTGACAATTTGATTCTCCACCGCATGAGCCTGGATCCAGGATCCTTAACATTAAATAGCCACGTAAGTGGCTGATGGTCTGTGTAAATCTTGAACTGTCTGCCCAGTAGGTATGGTCTAAAGTGCTTGACTGACCACACGATGCTTAGCAGTTCCTTTTCCGTGGTACTGTAATTTTGCTCTGCCTTGTTCAGCGTACGAGACGCATATGCAATGGGAAGATCTTGCCCTATTTCCCGGCCTTGTGAGATAACACTCCCGATTGCATACTGACTCGCATCGGTTGTCAGAATGAATGGTTCCTCGAAGTTGGGATACTGAAGTATTGGAGGTTGAATGAGTTTCTGGATGAGCGTCTCAAATGCTGCCTGGCATTCTGCAGTCCACTCAAAAGGTTGTCCCTTCTTCAATAGGGTTGTTAACGGCTTGGCTATCTGGCTGTATTTTTCTATGAACCTTCTATAATATCCAGAGAGTCCTAGAAATTGCTTTATTTCAGTTGGGTTCGTTGGTACCGAGTGATCTCGAACACAGCTGATTTTTGCCGGGTCTGGTTTTACACCGGTATCCGTTATCAGATGCCCAAGGTAAACTACTTCGCGCCTGAGGAATTGACATTTGCTTGGCTGGAGTTGGAGGTTGAATTTTTGAAGCCGTTGGAATACTTCTTCTAATCTTCTCTCGTGTTCGGGAAGATCCGCTGCATAGATGATTATGTCATCTAAATATACAAACGCCTTGATGCCGTTAAGTCCTGCTAATGCAGTGTTCATAAGACGTTGGAACGTACTGGGTGCTCCGCACAACCCAAAGGGCATACGGACAAATTCAAAATGGCCTTTGTCCGTTGAGAATCCCGTCTTCTCACGATCTTGTGGTCAAATTGGTACTTGATGGTACCCACTAGCGAGATCTAGTGTGGAGTAATATCTGGAACGTCCTAGTTGGTCCAGGATCTCATCGATCCTTGGAATTGGGAAAGCGTCTCCGATGGTTAGTTTATTAAGTTGCCGGAAGTCTACGCAAAATTACCCAACCTAAAATTCCCGATTCCGTAATCGGAAAGTTGTCATGAACCACTTGAAATTCGGCATCTGTCTGCTTTGTTCCAAGTTGAACTTTTAAAGTAACCGATCCTATAGCGAGTACTGGGTGCGAATTGATACCTTTGAGCTCATAGATTATTTTCTCGTTTACCAATACCTCTTTACTTAATTCCGAAAAAAGGTAGTGGTTTGAATTCAAACAAGAATAGGTTAAAATAAAACTGATGATTACGCTACCTGACATACCGCTTTCGTCTCAAGATATTATAAAATATGTTGTAAAGTTGAAAATCAATCATTTCCGTGGAGTCTTTTCACGTGATAACTTACCTAAAAAACCACATACGGTTGAATGTGGTATATTAAACTCAGATATATATTCAGGCGACGGAAATCTTTGGGTAGCGTTTTATAAAAATAAAGACAAAGTTGTATATATTGATAGTTTTTGGTGATTTACCTCCACCAATTGAATTACAACATTATTTCAGACAGTTCAAAATAGTATTTAACTATTCCAACTATCAAGACTTCAATACATTTAACTGTGGTCATTTATGTCTTGAATTTTTACAATGCATGAATCTATTACATTAAGTTTGACTGGAAATTCGACTGTATTATCTGGAAAATATTTTCCGCCTATAAACCTTTACGATGACTCAGAAATAGCTTTGTTATGTTTACAGTCATTTAATTCATTCCCAAATATTAATGAAAATAATAATAAATTTTCTATACAAGTAGTTGATAATGAAAACAATAATGATCCTATGATATGTTTTATTACATTGCAGTGTGATCTCACGAAATTCTCCATGGCTAGTCCAATGGAAAATCATGAAGCCAACACTGTGGCGTATCATTTCGTAACCTCTTGTGTATGTCTCCATGGAATACCAAACATGCTGGTTAGTGATCAAGGCACAGAGTTTTTAAGCAAGATCTTAGCCGAGACATGCAAACTCCTGAAAATAAAAAAATGCAATACATCCCTTTACCAACCGCAAGCTAATGGAGCTCTTGAAAGAAGCCATAGAACGCTAGGGGAATATCTGCGGCATTTCGTTGACAAAGATCAAACAAATTGGGATACGTTCATTCCATATGCCATGTTCGTATTCAATTCCTCAGAACATCGTTCCACAGGGAAACAACCCTATGAACTATTGTATGGTCGCACTGTGACAATGCCAAACTCGTTCACAAAACCACCAGAACCCCGATACAATTATGAAGATTTCCATGTAGAATTGAAGCAGAAACTCCAAGTGGCACATCAAATAGCCCGGGATCGTCCGGTGGAACACAAACAGAAGACAAAAGAGACTTACGATCAGAATCAGAATCAGATCATCATTCACGTGGGAGATCGTGTACTCCTTAAAGACAACGCTCGAAAAGGGAAACTTAGTACTAAATGGTTGGGACCTTATGAGGTGATCGAGCTTAAAGCAAATGAAAATGTAACATTGCAAAAGGATAGAAGGAGGGTGACAGTACACAAAAATCTTATCCGTCCTTTTGTGGACTGATCATTGTAAATACGTGATAAAATTAACATTAAGTTAACAATGCTAAAACTAACCTAGATGTAATAAATGCGGTGCTGTACATAAATATTTGAGGGGAAGAGAAATTTTCTATTAACAATAACGAATATCGTTGCAGAACTTTCATTCAATTCAGTGTGCTTAGGGATGGGCAAATGGAAAACAAACCGGAACGGCAATTAGAGGCAGTCAATAAGGTTTATAACATCACGTCGTTTCCAAACCATCAGGGGTTATATTTCGAACACCATGGTCCAGTAAAAGTGACTCGCCTCAGTTCGGATCTAGTAGCTTATATTGACCTAGCAACTCCAACTTCTAAATTTTCGGTAATAAAGTCACGGTATGAAGATACTGTGGAGATCTGTAAGCAGGTGACCGAGCGATTCTTAGAGTTATCGCCCACCTGCGATCAGTTCGTTCAGACGTTTGCCCGTGCAACGTTACCTACCATGTATGAAATTGAGGCCAATCATCGCAACATGATGGTAATTGGCTACAATTCTTCAGAGGGGGGAAGAATGCGTCGAGGATTAGGCAGCAATATTTAAAAAAAAACCAAATAATTGTAAAATGTTAGAATTTTTGTGTGAGACCGTCACTTATATTAAAATATATTATACATATTTAACTACACTTAGCAGCAGTTAAAACTAATTATTTATTTATTTAACCCTAGGTTACACGCATTAAAAATATTCACGAGATTCCACGCACACGGTGTTTTTGACCGTGTATTGAAATATTTCCATTAAAACTCGATAAATTGAAATAATAATTATTTTATTGATTTTATTTTAAATAAATAAATATTTTCAAATGATTTAATTGATACATAATATAAAAAAATTAAACTTTTATTTAAATTTTATTACATATTAGATTATTAATAATATAAAATATTTTATTCTAAAAAAAAATCATCTTCCATCGTTCGTTGTGAACAGTTTTGGCAAATCGAAGGCGCTGTATGTTCTTTACATATATATGATTGGCACTCGTTACACAAATTCAATGTTTTTCGGTTTTTTTTCCAATTACAAAATGCACATCTTCCAGGAGCATTTGACGTCTTTTGTACTGGTTCCTCTATAGCATTTGTGATTTCACGTATTCGAACTTTTATATTCATTGGAATGTTTTTTATCTGTACTCTTTCCAACATATATTTATAAATTAATGCTTTTGAAAGACATTTTAAATATTCTCTGCGAACAATTTTTGCATTAGTGTTACTAGCATAAATAATTTGGCTATTTAAGCCCGCAATATTTAGAACAGAAAAAAATATTGTCAATGGCCAACGCCGGCTATTTCTTGAGACGGAATACTTTCCTTTCATTTGGTCAACAGTGTCGACTCCCCCTTTGGTCGAGTTATAAAATTTGATCATTTCAGGCTTTGATCTAGCACAGTCAGTATCAATGCTATCATCGTTATGCATAGTTGATATAACTAAAACAATTTTATTAGCTTTAGGTTTATATGACACTAAAGTCATGTTTTTTTTGAAACCAAAAATACTACTTTCATTCGGCCGCTCTTTGAGTTTTTGAACAAAAATTGGTGGTATTTCTCTCTTATTCTTACGTAATGTTCCAACCATGGTCAACTTATGGTTATTGAGAAGGTCTTCTGCGAGAGGAATACTGCTGAACCAATTATCGCACGTAATATTTCGACCTGAACCAGAAATTGGCCTAATCAATCTTTCCACGACACTACAAGCACTGTTATTTAAGTGATAGGGCCCGTTTGGCTGCTTCCCTGCATATATTTCCAAATTATATGAATAATATGTATTTGAATCTACTAATGCAATTATTTTGAGGCCATACTTTGCGGGTTTATTAGGAATATATTGTCTAAAACGACAACGACCTCGGAAAGACTCTAACATTTCATCAATTGTAACATAATTATTAAATTCATAATAGTCTTGACATCTTCTAACAAAGTCTTCAAAAAATGATCGTATTGGTGCTAGATTGTCTACAGATTGTCTCATTGCACGTGTTGTTATACCATCAAAACGAATTGCTCGAAGTAATAAATAAAAGCGATTCATACCCATCGATAATCTAAAATATTCAATACCTGTACCGTCCATAGCCCATAAGTCCTTTATATTCACATGAGAAGACTGATGAACACCTGCTAAATATAATAAACCGATTAGCGCTTTTATTTCTGTTAGACTAGTCGGTCTTGCATCACGTGAACGATCAAACTTTGGTCTTATACGGTCAAGATAAATATTTGTGTATGTAACAATTTGTTCCAAAATAGAATCTGGAAAAAATAAATTCCACGATTCTTCAACACTATTTGCATTTTTAGCAAGCCCTTTTACTCCAGGTATATGTCTAACTATATTATGTCGTCTTATTCTATTATTTTTTGGTGGAGGACCATATTTCCAAAAAGTTTTACCATCTTTCCCTATAAATTGCGGTCCGTTCGACCAATTAGAAAATAAATAGTTGCCATTATCTTCATAATCGCCGTCTAAAGATTGTTCAGAATCACTATTATGACTTATATATTCTACCTCATCAACTCCTTCTTCATCACTGCCATCGATTTCGTCAAACTCGGTATTTCCATCATCAATATTTTCAATAAGTAAACGAATTTGATCGTCGTCCATTCTAATGAAAAAATAATATAATGTAAAACAAATATATTGAAAATATAGTGCGACTAAAACAAAAAAATACCTGCTAAAAATGAAATGTACTGATACTTACATTTATAAATGTTTTATCTGTATTATACTCGTAGTTACACACGGTATGGCGAACCAATGTCAACTAAAAACAATCTTGCCAGTCACAATGAAAATAAAATATTCATTTACGTTTTATCGATAAGGAATAACGTCTAATCGGCGATAAGAAAGTTAACATAAGTTAAAATTAAATTGTGTGTCAATGTCACAGTATAACACGCACACGGTCTTTTAGACCGTGTTTTAATAGGTAATGGACTTTGAACCCTTCTATAGTACAGGCAACAAATCGTATACAGTTAGGAATTGTATCTAATGTTAGTTTATCATCTAATTAGAAGGTACCTAGATTTAGTTAGGTTAATATTTCGTATTTTTGAAACAATGAACAAAATTCAAAAAGCCCGGTCTTTTTGACCGTGAAGCGTGTACTCTAGGGTTAAAAAAAAAATTACAAGTATAATTTAATTATTGGTAGATGATGTTCTGGAAACTTGATAGTTTTGCCACGAGACTGTCCCTTCTTGAATAAAAAAAATTTTAAATTTTTCCCTCATTTCAAAACCATCTGCACTCTCAGAGCCACCTCTACTACATAAAGTAGATCAGTAGTCTGTCCTTCGTCATATTCATAAAAAATTGTATTACCTTTTTCCAAAAACGCATCTCTCAACATATTATGCAAACAACATGCGACAATTACTAAATCGTCACATACTTCTACATCAATTCCTATTGCAGTATGAAATATTCTAAAAACTTGTGCTAATAAGCCAAATGCATTTTCCGTCACTCTACGACAACGACTCAACCTGTAATTAAAAATAGTTTTTGCTCTATTTTGTTTAGCTGTAGATCTAGAATATGGTTTCATGATATGCCTGTGAAGTCTGAATGCTTCACCGCCAACAATAACAAATGGTGTAGAGTTATTAGTGCCTGGTAGTTTTTCGTCTCCTGGAAAATTAAAATCTCCAGAATAAATTTGATGTCCCATTTTTGAGTAGTATATATTTGTATGTTCACAGCCAGCTTTTCCAGGGAAAAAAGTTGTCAAAGTCAAAGTTTGTTAAAATCACAGATATCTGTTGTTAAAATTCAAATTTATGTATCGCTTATGCTTATCACTTATCAGTGTTACGTCAACTAATGTTGATTTGAATTAATCTTTTCCATAGATATTAAAGAATGGACAGCCCATAGGCCAAGACTATATTAACAAAATAGAGGGTAGTGTGCCGGAATGGGGAAGAGAGAAATACTGATTTTATTAATGCCTCTCATTCTAATAGCGGTCTTGTTCGTTCCCGTATGATAAGCACAAATGGCCTATCCATTCTTTAATATCTATGATCTTTTCCAAGGAATGTTATCATTAATAATCAGTAAATATATTTTATCATTATATGACCACGTGATGCACACCCAATGGGCCGATTCAAAATAAATAAATATTGTCCTGACTCCTGACGTTATATTTTATTATTATTTTTAACTATTTTTCAATAGTTTGTCAAACATTGTTAATCATTTTATATTATTTTATTTGGATTTTGGATGTTCGTACTGATGACAATACATCATTCTGTAATGTATAGACATTTCGCAATGTCTTTTTAAATTCATAGTATGCCAACCTATCCTAATATGACTGTTTAATTATTACTGATCAGTATACAAAATAATGTTTAACTGTGTCATGTAATATAATATACAGAATGTATACATATCATGTCATAAACAGAATGTCCAATATGGCAAAGTACAGTATATTTTTGAGTTCTTAATATTTTTTTGTTGTTTTACTACCCAAGAAACTCAATTTATAATTTATATCTATAATAAATAAATAAAAATTAAATATAAATATTATTTAAAAATAAAAAACAACAGTCAGAATAATGAATTCGATTTATTAAAATATAAATAAACATAAGGTTTTATAATTTTTATGATACACAATACATCCTGTATACATGGTGAAATGATTTCAAAATGAGAAAAATTCCGAATATAATATTTGGATACAAAATGTATAGACATTTTTAATAATACAATTTAAATAAAAATAATATTTTTTAATATAAACATTTTTACATACAAATTTTAATCATTAACAATTTTCTTTCTAATAAATTTGAATAAAAAAGTACATAAGTAAAAATGCATTTACATGCTAAATAAAACACAAATATATTTTCATTTTATTTAAAGAATTTTGGGAAAATACCAATATTACCAATTAATATGATATACTTTGATTATATTTTATTGCATCCTAGAAATTGTATTACGATACTTTATTTTCGATGTGCATTAATATCAATAAGATCACAAGCGTATAAACATTTTTATTTTTAATACCATTTAAACCATGTCATACTCTAATGTTGAAAAAATGGATATGCTAAAATGTTATACACAGTGTAATAATAATGCTACAGTAGTTATATGCTGAACTTTGTGGTAACCGTACAATACCTAGCCGTTTTACATTTACAAGAATACAAAAGAATTTACTTTCAATAAAAAAAATATAAAAAGTGTAAGATGTAAGAGAGTAATAAATGAGAAAAATACTGTTATGGTTCTTGCACATTTATATAAGGATCCACATACATCATTGCATAGAATATCAGGTTTGTAATCAAATTTTTGAATTATTAAAACATTTGTTAACACTTTTTAAATTATTTTTTGTTATGATTATTGTTTATACTAATTTTATGGCTAAGATCATAGTTGTTCATAGCAATCAATACAAATTGTATAATTATTAATTTATATTACTTTTTCATTGGACTAAAGATGTTAACTTTCAAGTTAAGTGGGGAGTTAATGTATGGTGTGGAATTTTGGGAGACACTTTAATAGAACACATTTATTAAAATAAAAGTAAATTACTATTTTAATTATTAAATGTTAAAATCTTTTACGTAATGAAAATATATATTTGTTTAATATTACTTTTGTCTTAAATGTAACTAACCTGACCTATAACTACCAAATATCGAAAAGTGACCACATTAATACTATAATATAAACCTTATTGCTTACGGTGCAGTTTAATTACAATTTTATATGACACACTATTTCAATTTTAATAGCTATAGATCAAGTTTCTACAGACCGTTAATATTACAAATATTTGAATGAATCAACTAAAAAAATAAAATCTGGAAAACCATGATATCCTACTAATGTAGATTCTTGAATTAATGCACAGCTTAAAATATGATCATTACTTTTATAAAAAGATTTACAACTTCATATGAAATGTATAAAATGTAAATACATTTGTGTATGCTAAAATTATTTTCTTTAAATTAAAACAGATCCCACAACTGTTGATTAAATGGTTTTATTTGGCACTCATTTCTAGATGCCAATAAATTGAGTAAAACAAAATTAGACTTGACGATAAAAAATTTAAAATACTTGATATTTGTCTTCATGATTTCAATGACTTATTATTAAATATCTACAATTATTATGTCAAATTAGGTTTGATAATAACACTCAGAAATATGTTACTTACAACTATGTGCAAATACCAGTGGCAGTTCTGGGAGTATTTTTTCGGTGAGGCAACCTATGTATCACCCCCCCCCCCACCACCATACAAAACTAGAATTCACAATAAATATAATTTAAAAACATAAAAATAATTTTTCAAGGGGGAATGTCCACTTGGAGCACTCAGATTTACCGTGTAACACAATTTCACACTGATTGACTACCAAATTTCGTCTCACACAAAAAATATTTAACATTTACCAATTTTTAAAACTAAAATAATTATTTCAAAAAAAAAACACAAATTATTAAATCATAGTTTTTTTATTGTTACAAATAAATTCTTAATAATATTTACACAAGTTTCTTACTTCTCTAGTAAAAGGTACATATTCTACAATACGATCATGAATTAAGAAACAGTAAGCAGTCACACCCGTGAGCGATTCTGAAGCTTAAATTTCCAATTGAACATCCACTGCTGAGGCTGTGGCTGAATCGTTCTGTTTCGAAGTATCGATAACTATAATTGGAGCGTTTGTCAGAAAAGTAGAAGGACTCAATATCGGGTTACGAATACTTTTTTCATAGTACGATTCTTGAAACGATGTATACATATTATATAATAAGGTGAAATTATTTTTAGTAAAATCTAAATTCAAATTATCGTATGGATAAGCTATAGAGTTCAGAAATACTTTAACGTTTGTTAAATTACAATGATCAAATATACTACAATCTTTTGTTAGCAAATTTTTGCGTCCTTTTTGTAATCCAATTATGATAAATTGTGGTTTTTCTAATTTTGAAGCAGTTTTCAAATTCCATACAACTTTTTTAGTGGTTCCGAGTTCAGGATATTCAAAAGTTTCAAAAGATCTAAAAGGAATAAATAGACTTTTTTCTTTTTCTATAAGTTTCAATAATTTTAACCTTTCTTCGTCGTCGACCGTTATATGTGGCACCTTCCAGACTATTTTATTTAAGGTGACTTTACCTTCAGTAGCAGTTGCACCATTTTTAACTTGTAAAGCATTTAAATCACTTTGACTTCGGGTTAATATTAATTCCAATCTAGAATTCACTAATATTCTTTTATAGTCTTCAAACAATCCTAACCAATATTTCAATGGAATGCAAGCACTAAATTCACCTTTGTCATTTTCCGATTGCGTTGCGTTTTTAAAATTCCAGCCAGCATTTTCATAACAATTGTAGTTATCTGGCGTACCGGATAAGTAACCTTTCCACGAGCTAGTGATTCCAAGAACACGTGTGCTATCTACTTCTATTCCATTGATTTCCAATCGTATTTGTTCGAAGAGGTAAGAGTAACCGTTATTAGTTAGTTTCACTTTGGTAGCATCAGTAATTGTTCCTTCCAAAAAAATAAAGCTTTCGTG